AGAAAACACTATATAAGTATTACTTATATTTAAATATTAAAATTTTTTAATTACTATTGGTGTTAATACAGTACACACTTTTCATTATTTTATCAACTTAATCAAATAAGCAATTATTTTAAAATAAAAAGAATTTTTGTTGTAATTTCAATAATCATTTGTTTTTATAATTAATATAATAATTAAATATTTTTAATTAATTAATTAAATTATCAAATGAACAACTTTTGATATTTATTGAATACCCGATGGATATATGAGTTTCTATAATAAATATCTGGACAATCATTATCCTTAATGATCTCAAATATCCCATATTATTGCCGTCTCTACTCAATTGATCCATTAATTATTGTCCTAATGGTATCAAACTTACTATTATGGGTTAAATCCCTATTAATCATGAATTAATCTTTGTCGTTTTTTAGATATTTATTAATGGTACAATAAAATTACTATTTAGATAATTTTATTATATAATTTACAACTAATTAGTTTTAAATTTTTCTTAAATAAGTTGTAAACTAAAATATTATTATTAAAATAAAAACTATTTTAAACTTATGTCGTATAAATGTCAGTCATATAAATTATTCATATGATTTGTTTAATTATGTGATATATATATAATTAATTCTAATTTAATATAAGTATTATATAAAATAAGATATGATATGATATGGATAATTAAAACATTAATAATTTAATTGCAATTGTTTGACAATAATAATTAAGTTTATTATTTTGTCTGCATTTTTTTCATACAAAGTAAATCTAAGGCTTAATTCAAATATTATGATCACATAAACTGAAGGACGGGTTAATGTAATTGTATTGTAATTAATATGTTTTTATATATAAATTAAAAATGTTGTTTTTTGGACCATTTATAATTAAATATTATTATAAACTAGTTATTTTTAAGTTATGATGCATTTAGTGTTGGCAAAAAAGAGAAATTTATAAAATAGAGAAAATTTTTGAAAGTTTCTAAAAGAAATTTCTATCTATTAGAATTAGATTGTTAATCCATATGTTAATTTTGTTATCTCGATATTTGCTATCATATAACAATACATTAAATATTATTACTAGTATTTTAATTATTAATTTTAGTAAAAAATTAATTAATTAAATTATAATAAACTATGATATAAATATATAGTAAAATGATGAATAAAATTTTACAAAACTGATTATTATTAAATAATTATAATTATTTTATATATAGGTATCCCATTTTTATATTACTGTATAGTACTGTATAATTTTATATGTATAGTATTATATCTTATTAATATAGTATTACAATAGCTATAGATATGGGGATCCCATAGTATAAAAATAAAATGAAATTTCTATTGAAATTTATTCCTGAGAAACTTTCTAGAAACTTTCTTTTTGTACATCTCTAGATGCACTCCAAAAAAATTTAGTAAAACAATACTATTTTTATTTAAGAGTTATGCAATAAAATAGACATTTAATAAAACAATGTATCTCTTTTAGGTGTAAATAATGTTTATATATATACGGTATGTCTCGATATCTAAGCAAACATTTATTGTATTTTATTTGTATTTTCTGTATCCTAACGAATCGATCGCTTATTTTGTTTAAGATGATTGCATTGATATAGATTACAGTAAATTTTATTAAAATAAAATAAAATTATAAATATATGTTATTTATAATTGTAAATATTATAGTATAAACACTTTTACATAACTTTTTAGATGATATAAGCATTTTGTTTGAATGTAACGTCAAGAATATGAGTCGAGTCCTCAAAACTATAACCTTTGGTATTCATTATATAAGAGACATCTAAAAAGGTTTTTATTACAAATCAATGCATCGATTGATTGACTCTAAAAATCATTTCCTTTGCCATTAATGATACGAAACCGTCATTTTTCAATACAATTCTCTATCTCTTTCAGTTAAATTGCATTCAATTCATACCAAATAATAATTGTTCGCATGTTTTTGTCCGACACCTCAATAATACAGTATTTGTTATATTAAATAATTTTATCGTTCAATTCATTCGTCAAATTGTTGTTTGAAAGATATATATATATATATATATACATTAACTAATATATAACACCGACACCGACACCGAACCCACACCAACACCAACACTATCGGTGCTCTCAATTAGTGACACAAACTTCTGTTTCTGTCACATAACATATCATTTGATTATATGTTCACATCATTACACTATTTACTCAATTATTATTCTAAATATTAGTTTTTTTTATTTCATAGTATATATATTGATAATAATATAACATTTTGTAAAAAAAATTTCTAAAAATTTCATAATATTCTTCTTATTCATATAAATTTATAGTCAAAATTATATTTACATAATATTAATGTTTGAGATGTCATCGATTTGGTTGATAAGTCAAAAAAGTTTTCAAATTATTATATTTTGTTGAATACAAATCAAGAATTAATTAAATTCTTAGTATTCTTGAATAACAAACTATTTATTAATTTCAACAAAATTTCAAAAATTCATTGCTTGACGTCATTTATAATATCATTAGAAATACATTTCACTAATAATTCCTGACTTAATATTTAGTTTGAGTTTTACAAACAATTAATTATCAAATGAATATTTGTTAAAAGATTTTAATTAAATAGAATATTTTTTAATGAAAAATAGTAATTAGTTATATATTGATATTGAAGTTTAAATATAATAAATTCAATGAAAGGACTTGTCATGAAATAAATCTGATGTTTAAAGAACTTAATCAAACATTTTGACTATAAAAATAAACCATAATATATAATATTATTATACTGTTTATATACAGAAAATTTTTATAAAATTTATAAATGCATATTTTAATTTTATAATAACTTATATATATTGATATAAATGATGCTTTTTGTAAAGTTTTTCCACTATACTAATAATAAAAACATTATATTTAAATTATGTAAACATAAATTTGAAATCTCTTTAAATTGTTAAATATAATTGAAATATAATAATGTCACTTTTCTATATTATTCAATAGTATTCAATAATAATAATAATAATATACAAAAAATAATTTAAAAATTAATAGTTTAAAATAATTGACAAATCCTTTGTCTAAATTATGTTCAAATAAATATAGAGAAATACTGTACATTATTTATTTTACTTACATTTTGACAAATATACTAAAAATATTGCAATTATTAAAAATATAATTTTATATAAAGATTTAATGCATTATTATTATACAATTTACTTTATATTTTATAATATTTTTTTAATATACTATATATTGTATGTCTTGTCATTTACTTTACATGTATTGCATTACATTGTAAACATTTCATCAAATTATTCAAATAATTTACAGATGTATATAAAATCATCTAATAAAAAGATTATCCATTAATTTTGATAATAATTAAAATTAAATATATTAAATGAATTAATCAATTTATTTTTTTTAATTGAACTAACTTTAATAATTTGGATTTACTTAAATTGTATCTATTTTTACTAATCCTATACATATGTTTTTAAGTCTATTTTTTATGCAAAATATTTTTTTATTTTAAAATTTAAATTTAATACTAACTACAGTTAATATCCTATTTTTAAATGTTATTTAAATATAATTTATATAAATTTGAAAATTTTCTTTTGTTTATCATAAATATTTGACATTTAAATAATGTTTTAATTAAAAAAATTTTATTAAATTGATGTGTTATAAAAACACATTTATATGTAAAATAAAACTGTTGCTAAAAATTGTTGTCAAAGACTTATGTTGTTATAGTGATAAAAAAAATATTTAACATTTAAATATATTTTTTAAGTGAAAAGCTTTTTTTCTGCATTTTTCATGATTTATAACAAATTATGTTTTGGTTTACAAAAATTTGAATGAATTGAATACACAATTAGTTTGACAGTTGAGACAAATTGTGAACAATATTTGTCATCAAATGAATAAATACAGTAAATTCTAATAACACTTAAAAAACATTTATTTATTATTATATATTTCAGTGACATATTTGAAATATTTTTATAATTGCTACTATTCTTACTAATAATTTCAAAATTTTTAACATGTTTTATAATATTAAGTTTATAATTTTAAAATGTACTTTAAAATATTATTCTGATTATTAAATATTTATTAATTTTTAATCAAATAAAATTTTTGTTTATATTAATAAATATTTTTATTAAACTAATATCAAAAGTTGTTTTAATTAAAATTTATTGATTGTTGAGTTTAGAGTAAACATTGAATTGAATCTTATGTTTACAATAACTACAGTATTTATTATTTTAATTTATAATTAATATTTTATTAGTAATAAAATAATACATAAATTTTTAGAGATTATATTAATATTGTATATACAGGTATCACTGTATTCTTAATAAAAATTAAATGATTTATAAATACTAATATTACATAAAAATTAATATTATATTTATAATCAATAAATTTGATATTTATGTCATTTTTAAACGAGTTATTATCGATTGATAATACAAAAGCATAGGTTAAGTGGGCTGTCGTTTAATTTATCAAAATGTTTGTACGTTTACAAAGTTATTTGATTTAATCCGACACTGTTTTTTAAATCATAGCAAAATAAAATTAAATGTGATTTCATTTAAATTATTTCAAATGAATTGACATTTACTGACATATTTGTTAAACAATATAATAACATAATATATTTTCATTTGTATTAAGTTATCTGTAAATTATATGAAATCATGAATGTTGTGACAATGTTTACAATAGTTTTATCGAAATATAAAAAAAGCAAAATACATGGAAAAAAATTTCAATTATTTTATTCATTGTATTACATTTACAAATGGTTTTCAGTGACATTTGTATAATGCTTTCCTGATTTTTATAATATTATTATTGTCTTCAAGTAATGATAATTATAATTAATTAATTATTGAATTATAAAATTTATTTATTTTTTTAATACAGAATTCACGAATGAATATCTTAAAACACGACAAAATGTGCCTTAATTTCCCTAATGTTAAAGTAAGTTATTTTTATTTAATTTTATTTATATCAGATAGTCACAATAAATAGTGGCGGGACGAAATGTATCAAAGTTGTATAATTACTGTGACAAAAGTATTAATGCTAAAAATACAAGACTAATTTCTTAAAATTAATTGATTATATATCTTTATATTTTAAAATTTCAAGTTTTAAAATTATTTTATTTTTGACTAATAATAAGCATTTTTGTAAACGACATCCAAAATTTACTAATCAAATTTTTAAAATATAAATATTATTTACATGTTGTAATGATAAATTTCTAAGTTTTAATCAACCATTATAAAATAATCGACTAAATGTTTCTTTTGAGAAATTTTCATAGATCAATTAGATTTAATTAAGCATTAAAAAACAAAAAATGCCTATAATATGATTATAATGTTAAGTGATAATTTACAAAAAAAAATAAAAGTTAAAAACCAAAATTTTAAGTGTCATCCAGTGAGTCATATATTCATCTTTCATAATAAATAAAAATGTAACTTTTCAGTTTTCAATTAGTAAAAAATATATATAAACAAATTAAATACTTTTTGTTGCTAGCTGAATAAAGTTAAATATACTATAATTTTATACATATCTTTCAGTTTTAAAGTAAAATAAATAATTTTTTGAATGATTTGAAGCGTTTTGTGTTTATACATGAAGTTAATTAAAAAATTTATAAACAATTTCAATTTTAATTAAAAGATTCTGTGAAAAAATGTTAAAATTTTAGTTACTGCAATATTTACAAAATAATTAATTAGTAGTATGAAAATATTTAATCTTATAAATATTTTTACGTTAATATGCTTATATTGCAATAATCTAAAAATGAAAAACTTAAATTATGTTATGTTTAAATAAAAAATAATATCAATAATTTTTTATCATATCATTATCTTAAAATGTAGTTTTAAAAACATTTTTAAATATTAGAAAGAGTTGGATTTTTAAAAATATTATTTATTGATCAGATAGCCCTGCTATCGATCTAATAAAATATTGAATGATTTGTAATTTTTATTTTTTTTAAAACGACTAAAATTTAAAAAGTTAAGGTATTGTCAAAAATGACGGAATTTATTTTTTTGTTATAAAAGTTAGTAAAATCTTTAAAAATAAAATTATTTTTTTGTTCAATTTATAGGCCATTAATTGCCAGTTAAATTGATGAAAATTATTTTACTTAATCATTTTTAGTTATTAAATAAATTAACTTTAAAATTAGTCATATGTCCCGCCATTATATATTGTGACTACCTGATATTATAATATTTGCTTTTAGTATATAATAGTGTATTGTATAGTTTATATGAAATAAGTTATTAAATAATTAATAGTGGAATTAAATATATATATATAAAGTCTGTGACAGAAGGGTGCGAACTGGTTTTTGCTTAATATCTCTATAACTAATTGAGCTAGATAAATAAAAATTTTATGAGAAACATGGAATCCTGGGACGTATAACTTAGTATAGTTAGTTGTTATAGATTTAAGCTTATGTAGCTAAGCACCGGTAGGTGCCATATCTCTAAAACTATAATAAATATCTAAATTCTGATAATGTGAATTAAAACTAGGTGAAAATTCATTAGACACGTGTTTCGGTAATTTTTTAAAAAATTAATAAATTTTAAACAAAAAGCAAAAAAATGTAAAATTTGTAATATTTTGATATTTTCTAGAAAAAAAGTGTCAAGGTATTTTGATATGAAATTAATCTATTATTATTTGTTATTTTATTAGGAATAATTATTCTATTTACAATTTTTAATTATCATGCTTAGTTTTTGAGATATTAAAGATAAACATTTTTACCATTATATAAATTTAGTAACAAATATAATTAATAAAATTTTATAAGAAAAATTATATAATGATAAAAATGTTTATCTTTAATATCTCAAAAACTAAGCATGATAATTAAAAATTGTAAATAGAATAATTATTCCTAATAAAATAACAAATAATAATAGATTAATTTCATATCAAAATACCTTGACACTTTTTTTCTAGAAAATATCAAAATATTACAAATTTTACATTTTTTTGCTTATTGTTTAAAATTTATTAATTTTTTAAAAAATTACCGAAACACGTGTCTAATGAATTTTCACCTAGTTTTAATTCACATTATCAGAATTTAGATATTTATTATAGTTTTAGAGATATGGCACCTACCGGTGCTTAGCTACATAAGCTTAAATCTATAACAACTAACTATACTAAGTTATACGTCCCAGAATTCCATGTTTCTCATAAAATTTTTATTTATCTAGCTCAATTAGTTATAGAGATATTAAGCAAAAACCAGTTCGCACCCTTCTGTCACAGACTTTATACAGTATCTCTAAAAAGTTAACATCAAATATAAATTATTCTTAATTACATTTTATACTGTTATATCAATTATTAATGCTTTACTATATATAAATATTTTAATACAAATAAAAAATTATTATGCAAAACAATAATAATTTATCACATGTTTAATTCCACTTATTTTACAGCTTTTAGATTATATTATAAAACTATTCACACAAACAAATTTCCTGTTGATCTGTAAATACAGTATTAATATTGCTGTTATGTAATATTAATGTTATAACAGACTATTTTGTAGTTTTTAAATTAATGTAAAATATATCATAATTATTCAAATTAGTATTATTTTGAGTATTCTTATTGTTTCATTTTTTTAAATTATTTAATTTTGCAATATCTATAAATTTTTTAAATCTATTATACTCTACTTACGTGTTATTTACTAAAGTTATTTATATTGAACCAAAGAATTTAATAAATTGTTATAAATTAATATTGTGTGTGATATTACATATTTTTAATTATCATTAAAGTAAAACACTTATCATAGGTAAACGTTTAAAATTCCTAAATTTTGTTTACATTATAAATTTTAGATATATTTAATTAATTTAATAGACTGTTAAGTACTTAAGTCACATAATAAATATTTACAACTAATTCAACGTCACACACACACACACACACACACACACACACACACACACACACACACACACACACATACACACACATACAGACTTTATAAACATCATGTTTAAGATCAAAACATTTAATTATTGATATCAATTTAAATGTTAACTATTATTATCAAATATTTATTGTTTTTGCTAGAGTTAAACACTATTTTGCATTTATTATTGAAGTGCTCAAAGTATTTCATAATACCATAAAAACATTATTACTTTAAACTTTGTAACCTATTATAATTATTTTTTTAATATAATATACTGTTAATTGTCCATAACAAGTAAATGTAATCAATAAGTTTTATTTTTATTACAAATTTTTAAATATTTTATTAATTAATACCTAAGGAATTAATTATTATTTAGAAATTTGTATTGAAAAGAATCAATTGGTTTATTATTAATAAATTAATAATAATAAACTACATTTACATTCATAGATATACTCATTGAACTCAATTTAATTTAATGTTAATAATAATATATTTAATTAAGTCGTTTATTCAAAGATAAGTTATCAATGATGATGTATATAAAAATGTACTGTATTTTTATGGTTTAGTCTACATTAAACACTTGTCACGAATTATAATAGTTAAATAAACCACAATATTTATTAATATTTTATATAACTCTTTATAATTAATGACAAAATATTATTATTATTATGAAATAAATAAACAGCAATTTTAATGTTTGTAATAAACATAATTAATTAAGTAATTCATTTATTTAATAATTCTACTGTAATAATGAATAAACTGATGTCTATATTGTAATTGGTATTCATTTTAGTAAAATAGTTGTAAAGAATATTAAATATTTTATAATAATAAACATTTAGAGAAAACATTTTAAAATACTGTATTAAAAACATTAACTACATAAACAAATTTTTATCTTTCAATTTATTATAGTTAACATTAAATTCAAAATAAAATCAATACCTATGAAAACATTGCTTTATAGTATTATATTTAATTGCAATTTTTATAAACATTTTTATATTTACAAATTAATTATTATATTATATCATTAATTTTTAGTTTTATTTCTATATTTCTATTAATTAATTAATTATTATTTAAAAAACAATGAAATTTGTAACCGAATATTATGTAATTATAAGTATTGTTTTTCATCTTATAAATTAAACACAATATAATTAAAAACTATAAGTTTTGTCTTTGAAACAAAACACAATTTTTGTCTTCAATTATATTTATTAAATTAATTAAACACACATACAGTATATTTCATGTTATGTTGTAAAATATTTTTTACTTAAAATTAAACATTTAAAACCAATTATATTATAATTTATGAATTAATAACTAATATCTTTATTAAAATTAATGATTTTGAAGCCGAGTATATACTAATTAATCATTAAATTTGTTGATGTATTATATTGTAGAAAATGCATATTTCAACGCAAATGCAAAACGTAAGGCATATACTATACACTAAAAGCACTGTTAGTTTTAATTCCCACTAAAACAGTATAGTAATGCCATTTAAATACTATACATATTTTTATACTACAGGAATATAAATATAAATTCAAATAACATTTGACATAATTCTGGGCTCAGTTTGAAAATAAAGCTATAGTTTGTGTGAGATTGACGTCAATTGAAAGCATAAAACAATTTTCATAAACATTACAATTTCGCTATTTTACAACAAAATACTCTATTAATGTAATTTAGACATTAAGGCATGTGATTTGTTTTCACAAAAAACATCAATTATACGATTTATTAGTTCACATGAATAATTTTTATATTTAAATGCATTTTAAGGTTTATATTATTATTATTTTTTAAAGAGAGAATTACTTTTAAAAATATTCTGTATTTTAATAATATATTATTTGTTGTAATTTAAAGGTATTATTGGTTTTTGACAAACCGGACGCTCAGTGCGATGCTCTCAAATGGGCCGCAGAAAAGCTATCATTTGAAACATATTTATGCCATAACTTTGAGTCAGCCGTTGATTGTTATACTGAGGAAAGGCATCATTTGGTGATCATTGACTCCAGACATTCATCACACATGTTGGACGCATCATCTCTGTGCAGGTATTTAACAATTTACACACAAACATCCAAATACAATACAATGCAAATATAACCTAAAATGAAAGTCATGTATTATGATTTCCTATTCAATGACTTTTTCATATATTATTATCTATATATACGAATATATATATATATATATATATATATATATATATATATATATATATATATATATATATATTGATCAGCTATTCAATACTCGGAAAGGCATTCAATCAAATAAACTATTCATGAGATATGAAACCCTATCCTTTGTGTTTCTCTAATATTAAGCTCAGTTAGGATAATCTCCACACAATTCATGTCATCAAACAAATTGAAAAATATATAGACTGTAAATACAGTGATTTGTTTTTGAATTTATGCAAAAATAAATCGTTATTACATTAATGTATACAATATACTGTATTTAGTTATTTTATTATATTTATATTTGTATATTTATTATTAATATTACGCTACCATTAATTTGTACTAACAGATAAATGTATTAAATATTTATTTATCACAATTATTAAATACTATTTGAATTTATATTGAAATTTATTATTATTAAGACATAAATTTCTAATCATAATACAATTTTATATTTAACTTAATATTAAAGTACATTTTTGTGAGAATACAGGTACACCTAATATTATATTACAATAATAAACGGTTATATATTTATTATCAAATCATTTATTTATTAAAAAATGTACTGTACTTTGTTTGTTAACCAGACTTTGTATTGTTTAGAAACTAATAATATAGATATAAAAATTTAAAACATTTTTATCTTTTATCAAAAAAACATATAGCGGTAAATGCAAGATCTTTTTGAAATCTAAACAATGTTTGGTTTGGATTATTAAAGCATTTTATTTATTAAATATGATATCCGTTTATCTCAAATATTTCTCATACCGACACTTAAACAGATCGATATCCGAGAGTATTAAATACTGTATTAAATGAGAAATTGATGTCAAATAAGAGAGTGAATGAGTGGAGTAAACGATAAACAGAGTAAATACAGGTATAGACTGTGGGAATGGGAATCAAAATCATATTTCATGTGATTATTATGCGATTAAATGCATTTACTTACTAAACATGTGTCACTCAATCAATAAAATTGTCAAATAATTATTTGAGAAAATTCTGGGAAATTAATTATAATTTGTATCCTTGATTGTTGTTTATAACTTACATAACTCCAGTGATATATAATAATAAACATAATTATATAATAAATATCAGAGATAATCAAAGTAAAAAATATTTAATAGTATTATTTCGTCACAAATTCCGTATTTTTAGCAAATCATTCATTTTATTTAATATATTTTTTCATTGTTTTTTAAATTCAAAGAAATTACAATTTAATTGCACGTCGTTAGCAAATAAATTGTTTATAGTTTTATGAAAAACTAATTAATATTTTTATAACTCAAAGATAAAGCAATTTATTTGTTACTTAATTATTTTTGTTAATATACAATAGCTTTATTATTGATAGCAATTTAATATGATACTGGTGCAAATTTAAAGGTTAAATAATGATAAAAATTGGATTAATTTTGTCACAATATAAGAAAATGCATCGATTTTAGAGAATGTTTGTGTGTATGTGTTATAGGTATCAACAAAAAAAAATCTCAATTTAATTAAATATAATATAACCGGAAAAATGTCAAACATTTTGTGCTCAAAATTAGTGCAAACATTTTCGTTATAGACGTCGGATTTAATAATTTTGTTAACACACTGTACTATAATTTTATTTTAATATATTTTCATTTTATATATATATGGGTTTAATACAGTATTTAAGTATGTATAAATAATAATAATAATACCACTTTACTAATCAAATATTAAAGCCTATTTTATTTTTAAAAATATTTTGGTATACAGAAAGCGTGATTTATTTAATGTATTGCAAAATATTATTTAATTATTTAATTTAACTTAGTTTAATAATAATTAACTTAATATTAAAATTTATTATATTTGCTATGTTTAATACTATAATAAATAAACTTATTTTAATTATATTTTAATCAAAATTAGATTAAACAAATATTTAAAAAATATATATTTTTATTCAATACATGTTTTTCTATAATATTTTTTAAATGTATAAACTATTTTGTCATTTTTTTAAATATATCATAAATAAAGTCAACTTAAACACACAATATAACAGTATATAATAGTGAGAAAACTTATAGACGACAAATAGTATATCTTTTTATTAATAAGTAAAATAAATGTAAAATATTTTTATTTATACATTTTATACCTAATATTATATATTTTTACGCTTCGTTATATTAAACAGTACCTGAGCTGAGTCTGTAATCTATGAAAGAGGTCACTATAGCGAAAGTAAAGCCTATTAAGTTAGTTTGAATGAGTGCACAGAAAATTTGTTAAACTAAACAAATGTCAAGTTTTAGCCAAAAATAGTTTTTCAAAATAATAAACGATAAAACATATTATGTTTAAAACTCAAACTTCATGTTTACTTCAAACACACAATTGTTATTCAATTCAATAATTCATTTTTATCTGTCATAAAATTGTGAACATTTTGTATATGTAAAATGTGACTGTATATTGTCTATCATTTTATAGATTGTATAATAAATTTAATGCATATCTTTACTATTTTTTATCGTATGTTTTGAAGCATTTTATTGCTTCATATTAAGTTATTTTTTCGCAATTTATGATTATTGGACCAAAATATTATATATAAAAAAATTTGATGAAAATTGTATTTGCTATTATATATTTTTTTCTTTAAAATAAGTGTCAAAAATATTATTTATAATTAGATTTTTAAAAAGTATTTTGTATGAAATTCTTGAAATTTAAATGAGTTATATCAAGTGTTATCATTCACTTATAATTATTATGAATAATTCTATTGATTTTTGCAAATATGAATTTTTAAGCAATTTTTATGAATCTGTTTGGCATTTAATAGTAACGTAGAGTTAGAGTTATACGAAAAGTTTATCGATCGGGAAAAGTCATGCCCTGAGAGTCGGTCTAAATTGAAAACATATATTTATATTATACAAAACATTAATATATTGAAGATTGAAATAATAGTGAAGTGAACCCAATTGAATAGCAGTCTCTCAAAACAAATCTAACAATTTATTTAGCATTTGTTCCCATAAATACAAAGCTGTATTTTATTTTATTTTTGTTTGCCTACTGTATATAGCAAACAATAACATTATTAAAAAAAATAAGATTCATTTTTATACTATTTTCTGATAGTTACAGTTACATAAATATATTTCATAAATATAATTATATTTATATTATACTGTATATAAATTAAGTATGCTTACCATATAATACTAGCTTTGTATTTTGAGCGTAAAAATCTTAAATAATATTTTGATCAACAGTTTGTTTTTGTTATTTATTTTATACATTATGTAAACAATTATAATATTCATTAATCAAAAAATTTTGCTGAGCACTTCAAAATAATTTTAAATTGAAAAATGTTTTATTTGCAACACTAGACCACAACAACTAATTAATTATTAAAGTTGTGTCAAGTAATGAATAGATTGATGTTTTCAAAAAATAAATTTAATTAGTGTTCAAACATTACCTCCAATTGTTTATTGACTTAGTTTTGCATCCGATCTACAAAAAATAGTTTACCAAACAATGACATTCAATATTTGTATTGATGTCACAATTAGTCTGTTTTTAATATGTTATGCAAATAATACAATAAATGATAAGATGATTCACTAACTAACCAATTAATTGATATAAGTTTTTCTGATATTTTTAATAAAATATTTAGTATAATAAACATTACTGTATAATATTTATGATCTCATATTTCTATATTCGATAAAACATTTTGTAAAAAAATCCAGATCTCTTTTAAAGCATCTAAAATAAAATTTTAATACACATTTAAATTTTAAATTTACATATAGTCAGTGCTTTCAGTGTATTATTATTTTGCCAATACTGGCTAAACTTTTATATTAAAATACATGTAAATTATTAAATTGGCTAAAATATTTGAAAAAACGTCAAAATAAATATTTAATATATTTATGTTGTCAGTAAACAATTGATTAAACAAATATATTAAAGATTAATGTTATTTTATATTAAATATAAATATTCTTTACTATTAATTGCATAATGTATTGTTTGAATAAATTTATTATAAAAACAAGAATATTCTTTTTGTTTACAAAAATATGTTTTTGTATAATGTATATAGTTTTATATCTATTTTTAAATATTATTTATTTATAATAAAACTGGGATAAAATATAGTTATTATTTAATATAAAATGCTGTAAACTTTTAAATAAATTATCAGACGTAAAGTCATGTAATCGTTGGAAAAGCTAATAACGATAATTTGCTGTTAAACTAATCGTAAATATCTAATTATTTTCAATTATATTATTCATGAAAAAAATCTTTTTAATTATTGATTGAACTTTTTTTATTAAATAAAACACGAAAATAGTTTTAAGGCTTTCTCTACTATTATATATAATATATTTAATTGATATATATATATATATGACTTAATCTTATTGTTTTGTCTACATTTAGATCCATAAGAAATATTAAAGGAAGTGAATACACGTGTATTGTTGCGGTCGTTAAGAGAAGTTTAGCCGAAAAAGAAGAGGCAGGAGTTTTGCCATTTATTAGACACGGATTCAATAGAGTTAGTCTTTATATCATAAATACTAATCAATTTACTATTGGTTTCTTTAATTAAATGCAAATTTCCTTTTAATTATAAAACTAATCTATTATTATAAATTAAAATAATAAATGAATGCCTATTATATATATAATACTAAATATTGATTAATTAATAATTGTTTTTCTATTTCTATCTTTCCATTTGAATGATGTGGTAATTGATTTGGCAAATGACTGAATCCAGTGGTTCATAGAGTCATATAATTTAGGCATTTGTCTCAATGAATTGATTCAATTAGAGAATAACGATATTGCCATTCAATCTAAACTTAAAGCAAGTCATGCCTTATTCACTGCACTCGACTACTGTAAGGACGGTGTGATAGTTACCGGTCCTAATCATGACATACAATACCTGAATCAAGCCATTGAAAAAATGTTGGGTTTTAGGTATGAAGAAATTATCGGCAAAAATGCTTATGATTTGCATCGAAGCGATTCATTGAAGACCGATGTCGTCGACAGCATTAATATGCATATCAATAAAGGAAAGGTATGTCAACAACACTCATATCGTTTACTATATTCATCATCACATTTGACTACTCATACATTAGTACTCTGTATTTTTTCACTAAACATATTTAATATATTGCTAATGACTATATAAGACTAACTAATCATTAATTATCGGTTTGATTGCATTTACAATCCAAACAAGGAATGGGAGGGAACTATATTTCATAGGAGAAAGTCTGGAGAATGTATTCCTCTCTGGAGTAAAATATCTCCATTAGAGGTACACAATGGGTATGTTTTTTAAGTTTTTATTATATCCATAAAAATGCATTATTTAAATCAATTGACTTAAAAAAACTAAATTCAAACTACTTTAAGTTTTTAATATTTATTTTATTTATTAAATTATTTTTACTTTTGTTAGTAAAGTACTAGAAATTTATTTGTAGCTAAATTTTTGTCTTAAAAATTGCAGAAGTTTTTAAAATTTATTTCTAACATTCTGTAGACAAATGTTTTATTTTTGATGATTCAGACATATATTAAGTTCCTAAAAATAAAAGGTTATCTGTGACATACACATACACATACACATACACATACACATACACATACACATACACATACACATACACATACACATACACATACACATACACATACACATACACATACACATACACATACACATACACACATACACATACACATACACATACACACACACATACACACATACACATACACATACACATACACATACACATACACATACACATACACATACACATACACATACACATACACATACACATACACACACATACACATACACACATCATACAATTTTTATATTAAGAGCTTAACCAATAAAATAAATTAGTGTTACTTTTATATTAGATTCTTTGTATAATATATACTCTAACATATTTATTATAATAAATTTATTTTATTTGCTTTTAATACATTTTGAAATACATTTTTTGAATTATTTTTAAATTTTGAAAACTTCAATTTAAAAGCCCTATAATTGTGACAAACCATACCGTACATTTTTAGCTATATAATTTACAATACATATACCTGTATATACTGTATATTATTGTCAATGTCTAACAACTTGTTTCTATCAAATGTGTTAACACTGAACACCAAAATAATGAAAAAGTGATATATTTTAAGTTTTGAGTTGTAATTCATACTTGAAATGCCATCAAATGTGTGATTCGCTAAAAGGCATTCAATGACTGTATTGTTAAAAGAGACTCTTTTGACGACAACTAAAAGACATACCTTTTTTGTTAGGATATGCGATATATATATATATATCAGGATTAAGCAATGTTTTGTATTTTAGGGGGTATTAGGGGTTTAAATAAGACAAACCTCGACAAATCTTAAGGAGGGTATAGAGTGGGTATAGAATTTTATTGCATTTTTAAACAACAATTTTTTCAAAAATCCAAAATCAAGGAAGAGGGTGAACACAAAATTCAAAAATCAAGGAAAATAGATAAATATTTCAGAGACTTAAGACTTAAATTTAAACTAAAATGTTTTTTATAAATTAAAATAATCCTGCATTTAAAATTTTAAAACATTAATTAAAAAACTTTAATATAGTTACTAAATTAATTTTAGTTTTTTTTATTTTTAAATAATCTACTTATAACGTAATTATTTTTTAAAAATAATAGTTAATGTTTAAGTTTTTAGGCACATATTTTTATATTAAAAATGTTATTTTTATATAAATGTTAACTAAATACTAATTATTTAACTTAATTTTAGTTAAAATTTTAATTCAAGTAATTATAAAATTTTATTTTTAATTGAAATTTTAAAAATTATTAATAAAAACATCATATATATTGTTTTACTAACTATTTATCGTTTTTTAATTTTTAGTTGAGTTCAATTTAGATTAAGTTTAATGTTATTGTAGCTATTTTTACTGATTTTAAGTCAATAATTACATTTATATAAGTTATAAAAACATAATAACACTTAATAAAATATTATCAATTATAATTTCTATAACCTGAAAAAATTAGCATTTCTCCTTGTTTTAAAGCGACAATTTTTTTTCAATTTGGTCAAAAAGTCTGCGGGGGAGGGGGTAAAATGCCAAAATCTTAGGGGAGGTATCTTGGCCTTACCCCTTGCTTAACCCTGATATATACTATATATATATATATACAGTAGAATATATATTCGTTAATTTAGCGACTCATGAGTAAACATCTCTTACTATTAGCAGATATAAGACATTATTTAGACTTTAAATTCCTGACTGAAATCCAATTTATCATCACTTTTATCAATTTCTTTTGTCAACAATTTTAAAATATATGCTTTTTATATAATAAAAAATGTTTGATTGAAGAATTTAATCCAATAAAAATCAAATTGTATTAGATTATATCGACCATATATTTTATAATATGAATTATATAATTTTGAAATTACATACCAAGTTGTAGTTAATATAAGTACAGTTAAACATATATTTTATTATTAAAATGGCAGACATTTTATAGTTTTCATCTTTTATTATTTAAATGGTTGTCCTTTTTTTAATGGACATATAATATTATATATACGAGATCTACTGTATAATCTACATATAGATGAGATATATGTCCTATTTTGATATACTGTATCCTATATCCAATACACAAGAGTGAAACTATACTTATATTTAAAACAAATTTTTAAATAAAAATATTTTTTCTTATTATTTAATTATACTCATAATCACTATATTTATTTAGAATATATTGTGTTTGATTATATTTATAGTAATAGCTCATCAATTATATGATATAAATTATATAACATAATGATAATTAAACTTTAATATATGATTAAATTATTTATAAAATACGAGTTTCAAAAAATAATGTTAACATTGCATTAAAATTTTCATTATTATTGATTTTTTGCCACAAAAAAATACTGTATACAAATTTTATCTAAATTTTTATTTGATATAATAAATATTTAACTATAAATAAATATAAAAAATTATAAAATTTATCAGTAAAATAAAAATCACATTTTTGACGTGTAGTCAGTCACAAAACATTTTATATGTGTTTATAATATAATAAAAATAAGTATAAAACTAAATTACTTTTAAAATTAGATAATTAGATATAATTATTATTAGTTGAATGTTATTTTTATAATTATTGTTGACTTTCATCACATCAACATTAGTTTAACTATTGAATAAACTTTATTAGAAAATATTGTATTTATTATTATTCTATTAAACTGTTATATTATATATACTATTATATTAAAGGTTTAATATTAAATATTTTCTATTATTTATAGAATTGCCGAACATTTAGTATTTATCAAAGAATTTCCTTATTATTCAATTGAAAAGATGTTTAGTCCCGATGGAGGTAAGCATTCATATAAAATAAAAATCAATTGTTTTGTTATTTTTTATTATTATTAATAGTTTTATTATTTTCTCAAACAAATACAATTGTTATAACCATAAAATTGCAATTCAATTTACTTTACTTATATACACTGTATATTATATTGACAAAACAACTTATCATATTTTCAGTGTCAGTTTTTAAGTAAAAACTTAATTTAATATAAAGTTTTTTAAAAAAGAGTTTATTATATTATGTAGTTTATATGATATAGCTTTTTAAATTATAATATAGTTGATATAACATTTTTTATTTAATGTTTTCTTAAATTTTTAATCTTATTATATATTATTAGGAGAGCACTTGTTTTTTGTCATATATATATAGTGTTAGAATCATTTACATAATAAGTTTATAGTATGACATTTATAATATATCACATTATATTTGATTATATTATATTAGCCCAAACTCTTTACAGATACACTTATATTTTTTAAGTCATATATTGTTTAGAAATAACAAAATTATTGAAATCAAATATATGGTAATATCCATTAGCCTTATATTTGATTTAATTTTGATAATATGTGATGCAATGACTTATCATCTTAAGTGAGAATACTATATACAGTATAAAGTTAACTATAATATTAATGGCAATGCATTTAATATCGATATGTTTTAGATGTACTTCCTTATACTTATGGCTCTATAAAAAGCACTAGAAAGGCATCATATGATGTAAAATCCCTGTGCTCTGACGGTCAGTGCATATCAATTAATTAATATTAATAAATGGTTGGCTTTTTATATCATTAAATGTTTTCACTTAACAGTTGGTTTGGGTCGCCGACAAAGTTTTGCCAAATTTCACGCCATGACTATCGAGGCGCCCATAACTAAGGTATTGATATATGGCTTATGGATACTGTTGTCTGTATTATTGTCTTCACAATTAAAATTAGATATTAGAGACATTGTTGCCATCATTTGCTTTGTGATCAATATTATAGCTTTTCTGTAGATAAACGTAGAGTTATTTAAAGTTGTGCTAAATATAAGTACTAAATGGCTATACATTTACATAAGAATATTGTTTAGCTTAAAAATTGCGTAAATGTGTTAACAATTAGTGGTTAAATTGATGAAACAGGTCATCAATATCCTGATGGCCACTCAAGAGAACAGTCCTGTGTTTGTGGCCCAAGCGTTGGATAAAGTATTGGAAATATTGAAGAACTCGGAGCTCTATTCACCACAATTTCCGAACAAAGAGAGCAAACCGGACGACCAAATGGCCAGTGATCTGGTGTCCGGTCTGATGAGTGTGAGAATCACTGCTGACATCCCCTTTACACCCGAACCACTCCTTAATCGTCTCAATAATAATATATTACCCAACACTTTGCTCACACAGAGCGGTACAAAACAGTCGGGAGTCCGTCGTATGTCACACGAGGCCGCCTCTAATAAAAGTAGTGTCGGCGGAGGAGGCGTCACTCCACAGACACCCACACAACTGCCGAGTCTTTCCAATGTTCCCAATAATATCAAGAATTTATTGGATAAGGACAGTGACTGGGGGTTTGATATCATTGAATTGGAAAGAGTTTCACAAAAACGGTATATCATTTCCTATATATATATATATATATATATATTTATATAATTTAAATATCATATCAATTAATATTGTAATACATTATTGTTGTCATAATGTGTATATGCAGTCCATTAGTTTGGTTGGGATTATCAGTTCTGTCAAGTTTTGATGTCTGTCGTACTCTAAACTGTGATGAGATAACCTTAAGAAACTGGTTAACAGTCATTGAAGCCAATTATAGGGACAATCCTTACCACAACTCAACCCATGCCGCAGATGTCATGCAAGCGACCGCTTACTTCTTAAGAAAGCCACGACTGAAGACACTGTTTTATCCTTTAGATGAGGCCATCTGTTTGATAGCCGCCATAATCCACGACGTGGACCATCCGGGAAAAAATAGCGCATTTCTTTGTAATTCAAATGACGAGATGGCCATACTTTACAATGATATGTCTGTTTCATTCAATTAGCTAACTGTTGATATTTTTTTATATATTACTATTTATTACAGATCTGTGTTAGAGAGCCATCACGCGGCTCATGCCTTTCATCTAACAGTTGGTCCCAATTCAGACCCAATAAATATATTTAAAAATTTGGATTCCGAAACCTATCGAGACGTTCGCCAATCAATTATCGATATGGTTTTGGCCACCGAAATGACTAAACATTTTGAACATTTATCAAAGTTTGTTCACGTTTTTACCAAATCTGTTAGCATAGAGGAAGGTCTTATAGGGAACGTTGGTCAGAGTGGACCGGGAGAACTGGAAACAGTTCCCGAATCGCCGAATATGATTACATTTTCCACACCTGAAAATATCGTTCTCATTAAACGAATTCTCATTAAGTGTGCCGACGTCTCAAACCCCGCCCGACCTCTAGACCTCTGCAAAGTGTGGGCGCATAGGATTGCAGAAGAGTATTGCAATCAGGTATTCAATTATTTTTCACAAATACAGCTAAATTTAATATAAAATACAAATATTTAGTTACTATACCCAAGTATTGCTCGATTCAAATGTTATTACCATTGATTTGGTGAATACATAACAGGAATATATATTTTGCACTCAATTCAATCAAACACTAAATTATTGATTTTTTCCACACAATTCCTTTCTGTACTGATTTTCTAATACACTAACAAACACATTGTTCGCATTGATTATTAGAAATAAAATATTTTTATAGTATTGTAGATAAAAACGAGAATAGAGAGAGAGAGAGAGAGAGAGAGAGAGAGAGAGAGAGAGAGAGAGAGAGAGAGAGAGAGAGAGAGAGAAATCAAATTTAATAATAAATATTACTTCGATTCAACTACAATATACAGTATATCATATTTTGATTCAATCGATCAGTAATTAATTAATATTTGTCATTTATAGATACAACAAATATTTTTCTAAAAATAATTAAACTATTGCTATCATAAATACAAATGACTAATACTTTTATATTTTGAATATTAAATGTTGTAAATATTATAAAATTTTATTTATAAATCAGTGTTAGCTATAATTATTTTGTAATATTAACTTAGAAATCTTTAATCATATATTGTAAACAAATGTTGATTTAAAATTAACAAATACTTGTTATATGTTGTATTTGTGTATACTATGAATAGACTGATGAGGAGAAGCGCCAAAAGCTACCGGTAGTGATGCCGACCTTTGACCGACTGACCTGTTCTATACCTAAATCTCAAATTGGTTTCATTGATTATTTTGCAAACGATATGTTTGACGCTTGGGATTGTAAGTCATTATAAAAATTATTAGTATTTTTTAAACTCAATCATTAAAATGTTTTTATCTTTCTTTCATTTTTTTCAATTTATGATCTCATTTGTGATGTTATGGTTTTGAACGTAGCGTTTGGAGACTTTCCGGAAATTGCAGAACATTTGCGATCAAACTATCACTTTTGGAAGGAGTTGTCGGAACAAAATAGTAATAAAGATATCGACAATAATAATAAAGACAAAGAAAGACAATCCTAAACCAATTTCAGTCTAAAAGAGGATCAATCCATACAAACAACAAATACAAAACAACATTTTAGGCCAAAGTTTTAGTGAAACAGAGATTATTTTTTTTAATTTAAAAAACAGTTTTATATGAAAAACAATCCAATATTTATAAAATTAGATTGTAATGGGATTTCTAATAATATAAAAATATAATTACATCAAACTCTAGTCACCGAAAATTATCGCCAATAATCTCATTTGCAGTCATTTTGTGCTCACTTTTTATTATTAATAATTAATAACAAAATAATAATAAATCCAACATATATTGGAAAACAAGTCTTAATGACTATTAATAACCAGTATATAAATATTTTGGGAAAAATAATTTCATTAAAACAGTCATAAATGGATAGGATTTACATAAAAACGACACTTAAAACATGTAATTAGAATTAGATATTTATCATAGAAAACGATTAAATACTTATATCATTTTAGATATAAATATATAGTGAATATCTATGTTTCAATTGAATTATATATTTGAAACTGATTTGAATTATGGACTGAAACTTAATTAATTATATATCATAAATCATAATATGTATTAATAATATAAATTATATCAATATTTGTATTAAAATTTATAAATAGATAAAAATATTTTTAAAATAACATATTTGTCATAAAGTTAAACCATTTGTTGTGAATTTTTTATTAACAAAAATCCAAATGAATCGCACAACTGATTATTATAAAACATTTTAGATATTGATTTCTATTGTGTTAACTAATTAATTCAATTTTTATACTGTATAGTCGATCATTTAATACTATTTGATTTAGACAATATAACAAAATAAAGTGTTAATAATATTATAATAAAATAATTATAATAAAAATAAGTGTTTTCATATGCACATAAAAAATAGATAATCTAATAATAATAATAATATGTTTATATTATTGTATATGTTTTACCATTTGTTATTTTGTGTATAGCATTTATATATATTATAGATATTTGTAAACCTTATTATTATCGTTAATTATTTGAATGATTATAATTATAAATATTAATATATATGCCCATAATAAAATTTAATGTCTATAATATTATGGATACAAAAGTACAAAAATAAAATAAAAATTGCGGATTAAATTTTAATATCTATATTAATTAAGCGCATTATTGCGGTATAATATAAATGTGAAACTGTTTTTACATTATATCAATACAGTAATAATAATTATTATATTAATTAACGACAACAGTTGATTTTATTGAAATTTATAAATTTTACCAAATTGATTATAGGAGTATAAAGATAATTTTTTATTGTGTTTTATTTTCTAAACAAAATCATAAATTTAATTAAAACGATATCAAGATAACAAATAATGTCTACAAAAAAATATGTCATAGTTTTATTTGAAAGATGTCATAACTGACCCCATAATCAAACAGTAAATGACAAAACTAGCAAATTTTGATTCATCTAATTTCCTTAATTTTTTTTTTGTTATTTTAGTTATGATTTTATTGTTTCATAAAACGGTACATCACTTCCGAAACTCACAATTCAAAAGTGTAAAAATTTGGTGAATTTAATAGAGAAATGAAAATAATTATAGATATTATATTAGAGATTATTTTGAGAGAATAGAGAACTAACTGCCGCTTGAAAAAAATGGTTAAATTATTTATTTTTAACAAAATATTATATATAAATAAAATATTTAAAAAAACAACAAAAATATTTATTATGATATTAAGTAAAAAGGATGTTAAAGATCATTAAGATTTTGCAAAATAATTCAATCACTTATTTTTAATTGCAAACAATAATATAATTTTTTGAAATAATATAATAAATTGTATTTTTATTATTATTATTATAAATTATTATGTATTCTCATTATTTTAGTTCATAATATTTTGTTAGTAATTGATAATTTACTATTGTTTTCGTAGTATTTTTATATTGTTTTATAACATTTTATTTAATTGCAATTACAATATTTTTAATTTAATAAATTATTATAATATTTCTATTATAATTTATAACTTATTGTCTAATAAATATATTTTTTAAAATATTCAAATATTTTACACAACATATATTATTTAATAAATTTTCGTAATTATATTAAATAATGTTATTTGTACTTATAATAAATATATACAGTAGTATATATTTATATATATAAATTTTAATAAAAACCACATCAATAAAAAAGGGAAAATTGTCATCTGTAGTATAAATTTTTCAAAATAAAACCATTAAAAAATATTTTTAAAAATACAGTATAGTTTAAAACCTTATTGAGTTATATAACTAAAATGATATTTGTATGCCATTAAAAACAAACACAATTTTCAATAATAATACTTAAAATAGTCTTTTATATGATATTTATATAAAGCACTGCCAAAAAATTCTGTATTGTTTACAATAAAATCGATATCATATATACTGTATAACTATAATATTATAGCAAAACACTAACTGTGAAAAACAATTGAGTAGTTAATTGTATGGAAAAATCGTGTATTGTTTTTGCTTTTAACAACAATCCAATTCAATTGTTTTATCACATATTATTGTCGAAAATACATTGAAAATAATAATAATAATAACAATTATTTTATGTGATCAGTGCTATAAATATTTGGTCTCTCAGTTGTGTTTTTTAAATGATAATCTAATGCTATGTCTAGCGATAAGAAATGTTAAGAGTCACGACATATCACATGCCATACCATACTATATATAATACTATAAAATTACACAAAAAATTGTTATAAATTTATATTATAAAAAAATATTTTGATTTTTTATATCATTTACATATACAGGTATATAATAATTATATGTTTATTTCATAAATTGTTTTTAGATAATTTGTCATTTGTTTTAATGTTATTAATGATTATATAATAAATAAATAAATAGAAAAACAATTTTTTTATTATTAAATATAAATAACTCTTGTATTAAAATTGTATTTTCTATTGAGTTAAAATCATTTAATAAATAAATTTAACAAATAGTTAAATGTCATTTAATAATTTTTTTTAAAAAGTTTTTATAAAACATAATTTTATAGATTATAATAATAATGCGAGTCATTGGACCAAATCAATAATATTGGCTAATGTTAAACAAATAATAAGTTATTATTCAAACTTTTTAACTAAATGTTAGGCACAAAAAATTGACTTAAAACTAGTTATAACACGAACTGCTTGTTGTCATTAAGCCAATGAATCGTGATTTTTATCAATTATTATTTAGTAATAATAGTATTATTATATCATTAACATTAATAATTAATTAGTTACTAATATTTTTATATTATTAATTGTGTATAATTTATGCCAATTGTATTATAAGTAAATTTATTGAGTAAAACATTATTAAATAGTAAAATATTGTATATCTTATCTCACTTTACTGTTAAGTTAACGCACAGGAGATGACCTCTTTTGGTATAAAAATAAACTTTAAAATTTAAAATTTTTTATTATTTAATAAAAATAAAATAGATAATAACTTACATTAAATTATATATATTATATTATAAGTATTTTAAAAGTTGAATTTATTAATATTACATGATTTATATAAAAATTATTTAAAAATTTATAATGAATACAACAAACAAATAATAGTAAAAAAATTTAAAACATAACACTATAAGCAAATAAAATGAAATGTTTTAAGTTTTAAAAACATATTTTATTTATAGTCTTTATAGTTATTTTGATTATTTATTCTCTTATAAACAAAAACACATTATAACATGAATATGTATATGTATTATACAAAGTTTATATATTCCGGTATATTATTCAATTTATTATAGTTATAAAAATAATATTTCGTATAAAATAAAAGCTATCTATGGTTTGATATACCTATTGTTATACTTTTCTAAACTGTATTAATGAAACAATTGATACTTTTTGTTTTAAAAAGTTTAATATATAGACTTAGTTATTAACATTCAATTTATTTAAAATATTAATACATAAAAGCATATAATCTTTGTTTTAGAACAATAAATAATCTTTAGATCAATAAATAACTCGCTTTTCATAAATAGCTATTTAAAAACAAATGTAATATTATTTTATTATATATTATTAATATAGATATAAATATATATTATGTATATAAAATATTGATTTTATTTAAATATTTCATAAATATATTAATATATGAATCACATGACTAAAACAAATATAATGATTTTATTGTTAGTAGCAAAATTAATTGATATAAAAAATACTTTATATAATTAATTTTTAATCCGTAAATTATAAAATTATTAAAAATAATTTTATTATTATTTATTTTAATTTTCTTGATTAGGATTCTAGAAAATCTAAATAAAGTAATACAAAAATAAATTATCTTTTAATTAAATTTTAAAAACATATAATAAGTATAATATCTAAAGTAGTTTTCAAATTTTTTTTTTTAAATTATGATTAATTATAATTAATTAAAATAGCATTTATATATATAAGCTATTTATACTTATTATAATTATATAAAATATATTTTTTGTTATTATTATTTAAAATTGTAGCTCTATTCATAAATATTGTTATTAAAAAATTACTATTTATTGTTAAATACAAATAAGTTTCTATACTATTTATACAATTAAATAAAAATAAAGTAATGATTTCAAAATGCTTTGATAAAAAATATTTGAACAATATTTATAAAAATAATGAGTAAAATTTTGCAAAAATTAATATAACAAGTTCAATTTTAAATTTAATTATAACTTGAAAAAGTTTATAACTACTTGGCGACAAAGTTTAAAATTTACAAATTAAAAATTTAATTTATTAAATCACATTTTAAATAGCATTACAATTTTAATTAGTTAAGGAATAAATTAAATTTTATTGTAAAATCATTTTAATTAAATTAATGAAAAAAAGAAAATAAGCGATATTTAAAATTAGTTATTTCGTAAACTATCTGAATATATGAAACTGAATATATAATATACATAACAATTGACATTTAGTTAAGTCTATATTGTATTTAAACATTCAATTGATTAATAATGTTATTTGAATTATAAATATGATATATCCTAAAGTAAACATTAGTTTCAATCATATATTGAGAATACTGTATATTATTATTTATAGAAGCAATGATAAAATATGAATTATTAAACAACACTAAAAAA